ATCTAGTTCAGATTACGCTGTACACTATATTAAGGTATTGACTTTTGAGATATGAACACAACTATGATTCATGTGTTATCTAGCAAATATGTGTCCATTCAAAGAATTAAAAAATGGGAAACCAATTTTCTCTAAATACTTAAAATCCATAGAGTTGCCTTAGAAGCACTTTGGAAATGCAGCAAAGATGGGGAATAACTACTTGGTTAGTATGTTACTAGCTTGTTGGTATTTCATCCTAACTGTTCTTTAGCTTGCTAAATTTGCTGACTAACACTCAAAATAAACCTTTCCTCTAAAAATGTTTACCATAGCTCTTCCTTTGGCAGGTTCAGTAAAACAAGAATGCTTAAGGATTAGTTTTGGGTGAAAATATCACAAAACTCTATTGTTAAGACAGGTAAATATGCTTGTCGTTATGATCTCTGCCTTTGGCAAAAAGAAAAATTAGGCTAGATCTACACTGCCATATAATATAGTTGGAACTGCATTGGAATGCATTATATGGGTCTACACTATATGGCAATGTAGATTCAGCCTTAGAGAAGGTTTTGTAGTTAGAAAACAGTTCAAGGGCTTGGATTGGAGAGCCTCCAAGGGGGAAAAGGAAATAGAATGGGGTGAGGGCTTAATTTATTTGCTTCATCCTCAAGCAGCCACGGCCCTTGCAGAACAAGCCATTAGACCAGAAATGCCATTTTGTAGATACATTGGGCCTGCATGTGTTTCTAGGGAGCAGGTGGTGTCACTACACTCTTCAACTGTTCTCCTCTATCCATTTTGTTCTTGTTTCCATTGTAAACTGTTGCACGTTATTATTTGGGGTGAACCCCTTTGCAATCCTTTAGTGTGTTTGTTATATACCTTGCATGGGACATAAGTAAACTGTTTGATTAAATTTCCCCTTTTTATTTTGCTTCTCTTGGCATTGCTTTTCTCCATCCCCTTTCTCCTTCAGTGGATTGCTTGGTTTGAGGAACTATTAATCTGGAATCAAGTTATTTAGCTGAACCCATGCCTTCCTTATGTCTGCTGAAACATGAATCCTGTTGTAACTGTTTACTTCTCAACCTACTATGTCTTTTAAAAAATGTTCTTGGAACTAACTTCTGTTCAGTTAAATGAGCAAAGCATGTGCTCTATCACATTGCAGACCCTGATAGGGAATGGGAAGACAGAGCATGCAGGAAAAATATTCTGCATAAGCTCAGGTGGAACCAGAAATATATCTTATTTAACAAACTGTCCTTGATTCAGATGAATCTTAATATCTGACTGCTGCTCTTGCTGAAATTCACATATCATTTCTTACAAAGCCTTACGCATCAGATAGTAAAATGAGATTTCAAATTTAGGATGGCCTTTCCCAATCTGACAGCACTGGTTGAACTTCAATTTTATTATGGGCTTTCTAGTTCATATAAGGTGTGGAGGAGACCAGGGGTGCATCTCCACTGTAACATCAATGGAGCTTGACACCATTTGAATTGCTACAGCTCAATACTATGGAATCATATGGATTGTAGTTTGATGAATCACCAGCACTGGGTTGCTGTGAGTTTTCAGGACTGTATGGTCATATTCCAGAAGCATTCTCTCCTGACGTTTCGCCCACATCTATGGCAGGCATCCTCAGAGGTTGTGAGGTCTGTTGGAAAGTAGGTAAGTGAGGTTTATATATCTGTGGAATGTCCAGGGTGGGATAAAGAACTCTTGTCAGCAGTCAGCCAGGCTTTGAAGTCACAAGTCCATTAAAGGCTAATCAAAGTTGCCAATTGCAACATTCACACTTGCCTGAAGCAGACAAGAATCATTTCTCCCATCCTGTATATTCCACAGATATATAAAACCCACTTATCTACTTTCCAACAGATCTCACAACCTCTGAGGATACCTGCCATAGATGTGGGCAAAACATCAGGAAAGAATGCTTCTGGAGCATGGCCATACAGCCCGGAAAACTCACAGTAACTCAGTGATTCCAGCCATGAAAACCTTCAAGAACACACTGAATCAACATCACTCTTTGGCAGAGGAGGCTAAAGACCTTGTAAAACTACAACTCCCAGGATTCCATAGCATTAAACCATAGCAGTTGAAGTGGAATCAAACTGCAGCGTAGGTGCATCCCAGATTGGGAAAAGGAAACTTTTAAAAAGCGCCTTCTGATGGTGTCAAAAACAAAATGTTCTTACTAGTTACAACCTCCAACGCATCCTCTGTATATCTTAGAAACCATGGATCACATAAACTAACCAGCAGCAATCCAACAAATTAAAACAATTGTTACCTGTTGTCAAATAAACTTTCTGAATAAGGTCTGAACTAGACTGGCTGGCTTTTGTGGTTTCTCTTAGCTTTTATGAGTATTCTGTGAAAAGACAACTATAATTTGGGGACAGTTTTGCGCTATACAGCAAATGTATGTGAAGACGCTGGTAGGACAGGCCTGGGCCAACTTGGGCCCTCCAGTTGTTTGGACTTCAACTCCCACAATTCCTTAACAGCTTCAGGCCCCTTCCTTTTCCCCCTCAGCCACTTAAGCAAAAGGAAAGAAAGGAAAGGGGCCTGAGGCAGTTAGGAATTGTGGGAGTTGGGAGTCCAAAACACCTGGAGGGCCCAAGTTGCCCCAGGCCTGTGCTAGGAGCATGGAGAAATGAGGAGCTCATAATAGCTGGGGGAATAAAGAGAGCCTTAGGCTGAGTCAAACTTTCCTGATTAAGAACCAGCTAATCCTTGAAAGGCTTGCAAGTGTTATAGGTTTATCCATTTTAATCAGTTACTTAGGATACATCTGTACTGCAAAGTTAATGCAATGTGGCACCACTTTAACTGCCATGCCTCAATGATACAGGATCCTGAGAGTTACTGTTTTAGCCCTCTCTGAAGCAAGCCGCCCCGAAACGGGAACAGGGAAAGAAATGAGAACGGGGGGGGGGGGGAAGGAGGGGGGATCCCACTGAGCACAGAAAGGTGAGGGTCTCCCATCAAAAGATCAGGCGGAAGGGAAAAAATCCAAGCGCCCAAAATGGCGCCCCGCTCCAAATGCACAGCCGGCCTCTCCCCGTTTGTTTACAACCTCGCCTGTCCTTTCCCAAAACAGTCTGCTCCTCTGTCCAATCAGGATCGAGGCAGGAGTAAGACCTCATCAGTCGGAGCGGGCGGGGACTGGCCAGAGTACGCAGCCAATCAGGAACGCCGGGCTTATGCCCCTGGCGTTTCAATTGGTTTCCAGGAAGGGGCTCAGAAACCTCGAGTTTTGACCCAATCAGGAGCTTGTGTTGGGATGGAGAAGGGGTGGGGGCTGTTGCTGCGGTAACGCAGGTGAAGGTGAGAAACCAATGGGGAAGGGGAGGGAGGGAGGAGGATGCTGAGGCCTCAGCTCTGGGGTGGGCGCGTGGGGACTGAGGGAGCCCTGCCTGAGGGGCTTGTCAGCCATGAGGAGCCCAAACAGGGGTGTTAAGGGAGGAGAAGGAGGCTCTCAGGGAGGGGGAAACAAGCTGCAAGGAGGCCAGGTGCTCTGCCCTTTCCTTTCCCCAGGAGACTTCTTGTTTTGGCCCTTAGGAAAGGAAGAGGTCGCCTCAGAAATGAGGCTCAGGACCAGGCAGACACGTGTACACTCTGTGGGGGTTCCTGTCAGGGAAGTTTCTGAGTGTCTCCATCCTCTTCAGCAATTCTGGTAGGGAACCTGAAGAGGAAATAAAATGTGGCACCCAAATATTTTTTCCCTCATGGGGATGGAATTGAGCTGTGCATTTCCTTCCAGTTTTAGACTGGAGCTCAAAGACACCCTAACCTTTGGGTTTCACACATCCTTGCCAGGCCTGCATCTGCATTGTGAGTTACTGTTGACTAATAATAACAATAATAATAATAATAATAATAATAATAATAATAATAATGTGTTGTCAGAGACTTTCATGGCCAGTATCATTGGGTTGCTGTGAGTTTTCCAGGTTGTATGGCCATGTTCCAGAAGCATTCTCTCCCGACGTTTCATCCACATATGTGTCAGAGGTGTGAGGTCTGTTGGAAACTAGGCAGGTGAGGTTTATATATCCCTGAACATTCCACAGATATGTAAACCTCACTTGCTTAGTTTTCCATCAGACTTCACAACCTCTAAGGATGCTTGCCACAGATGTGGGTAAAACGTCAGGAGAGAATGCTTCTGGAACATGCCCATACAACCTGGAAAACTCACAGCAACTCAATAAAAATAATAATTTATAATATGTAGTTATTATATCAATCTATATATATATATAGAGAGAGAGAGAGAGAGTAGTAGAAAAGTCACAAAGGTGTCTGATGTTTTCATACGTTTTCACAAATTTCTTTGGAAAGATTTTACACATAATGTAATTTTATTTCCTATATATACCCTACATTATGTTATGATATTCTTCATTAAAAACAAAAAAGTTATTGGTATTAAATATAGAAATGCTTTGTGACAATATCTTTATCTCTTACCTGCCTCTCCCATGTATCGAAGTGAGGAAAAGACTAAAATACAACACATCACATGAGTTAGAAACATGTAATATCAATTTAAAATAACATAAATGCCATAGAGTTATTTAGGAATGCATGTAGATCACAGTATGCCTAATGTCTTTAGGCTTCACCAGTGTACAATGTGTAAATTATCCAGTAGAATATTTAATGCTACATGAACTGAATAAAACTCAATCATAGAGTTGGAAGATACCACATGGGCCACCCAATCCATCCCCTTGCCATACAGGAAAAACACAATCAAAGCACCCCCAACAGATGACCAATTATTTTTGCTCTTTTTGCCATATCCTCTCCAAATTCTCATAATCTAACATGTCAGAAATAACCATTTATTTGCTTGCATGATGTGTTCTGTGCATTTTAGTTTGTTTGTTGGATTTCAGATGTTACTATGTTATTTCTGAAATGTTATGGTTTGGAAATGCTATTTCAGGTGCTCTTTCTTATGTGTGTGTGTATTTATATATCTTCAACAGCCAAATACCACACGATGGAAGAACGTTCAAATCTCATGAACATGATGAAGCTGAGCATTAAGGTCCTAATTCAGTCGGCTCTGAGTCTGGGAAGGATTCTAGATTCTGACTTTCCTCCTTTGCAACAGTTCTTTGTGGTAATGGAGCATTGTCTCAAGCATGGACTTAAAGGTGAGTTTTCTTTGAGTACTGGTTTGGGCTGCATATAAAATTGGCCATATATCCTTATGGAGGTGTGTTTGTGTGCATCTACACTAGACTTAATACAGTTTGACATGAGTTCAACAGCAGTCACTCAATGCTATGGAATCCTGGGAGCTGTAGTTTGATGAGGTATCAGCACTCTTTGGCAGAGAAGGCTAAAGACCTTGTCCACAGTTCCCATGATTCCATAGCATTGTGCCATGGCAATAAAAGCGGTGTCAAACTTAGATGCATCCTAAGTTTAATCAAAGTTATTTTAACCAAACTATAGGTATTTGTCTTCATGGTTATAAACAGAAGCCTGTAGAAATCGTTTGCAAAGTTGTATCTCACTTATACAGAAAATGGTTAGAAACACTGAAGGGTAAAGATAGAGGAATTATATCTGTAAAGGAGAATTCATAACTCAGCTTATCCATAGACCTACCTCAGTTTACCAAAGAAACAACAATGGCATTAAATTAATAGCCAGTCTACTGAAGTAGTGGTTGTGGACCCTGTTCTTGTGTGCTCTAAAGCTTATTTAATAAGTTTGAGGAGGTTGTTGTGTGTGATATTTAAACTCCTTTGGAACCTCATTCCTGTATGCAAACGTATCTAATGCTGACTTAACAGTCTTCTTAGAACGAAATGTTTTCTCATGGCAAAAGATTATACAGTAGCATTGCTGAGTCTGGAGATGTTTTTCAAGAACTCTCCAGCATAATCTGTTAGGCAGACAGATAGACAGATGAATGAAAATAAATCCCATTATTTTTAGGATGGCTGAATCGTGTCTTGATACACCTGTCCACTGTGGTCAAATAATACATTTAGTCAGAAATAAGTTCCACTATATTTAATGTGTCTTATTTCCTTATAAGTGTTATATTTAGGTTTATAAAACAAGTTTAAACCCTGAGTCTGAGTCTAATGAATACCCGGAAGTAAGCAAACACTGTATTCCCTCCTCGCCTGTTCTGAAAATGCATTGAGCAATCTGTGATTGAAGGTTATCCCGTTTTGTTTTATTTTCCCTTCACTCTGTTTTGATCTGCAGAGATGTAACTTGCTTTGTTCTCTGTGCTTTATGTGCTTTGAACTGAAATAAAATATTTTCTTGCCTTTCATTTAGCTAAAAAGAGTTTTATTGGTCAAAACAAATCCTTCTTTGGACCTCTAGAACTGGTGGAAAAACTTTGTCCAGAAGCATCAGATTTAGCAACAAGTGTGAGAAATCTGCCAGAATTAAAGTAAGTTGAAACAAATCAAAATCCAACAAGATACTAAAAAAAACCAATTATTATTTCTAATAATTATGTGCTATCATATATTTTAGTGGCTGGTTTAGCTAGATGAATCATATAATGAGCTAACTAATTTATGATCAAAAGATGTAAATTTTTTGCTAGAATGTTTTTAAAGAAGCGTGTTTACTAACTACCCTATTCAGATTTCTCACATAATGTTAACATTCCACATTTAAGAATATCAAAATTGTATTGATAATTCACTATCAGGTTTCATAATCTGATCCAGAAAATGGCCACTCAGGTGCCACTAGCAAGGATTCAAGCTGACTTAAAGTAATAAAGGTCACACTGGACTCAGTACCAGAACTGCTCATCCCTGCACAGATTAATTTCATAGTGATACATGAGTAGTCCCTTATCGCTTTTTAAACATTTTTTAAAACTACCTATAACAAGGTAATATAGTACATATACGGAATGATCTACTGGAAGAGATCTGATGGCTAAATGAACTGTCAGAGTTCAAGAGAGAATTGAAGACCTTTCTCTTCTTGCAGGCCTACCCAGTCAATTTTAAACCCGAACTTTAAATTTACATTTTAGTTGTATTTTAATAGATGCATTTGCATTGCATTTTAATCCTTGCAATGTGTATTTTAGTATATGTATTTTGTGATGGTGTGTTTTAATGTATGTATTTTATGGTGATGTGTTTCAATTGTGTTGTGCCCCACCTCAAGCCACGAGGAGAGGTAGATAACAAATAAAAATGTACCATCATAACCATCATTGTCATCATCACAAAATAGTACTAAAATAAATTATATCTTTATCAAGAGAGATAAAGATATAACTACTTTTTCCACCTTTCTAATAAATGGTTATCTTCTGCTAGAAATGGGTTCTCTTCTTTTAGCAAGTGGAGCTTCCTCTCAGATTGTCAAAAACTCTTGATGTAACAGTATAGCATGGGTTTCTCTTGTTCAAACAATAATTTCTAGCAGAAAAATCCTGTTTATTTGTATCTGTTTCTTTCTTTTTTAAAAGAGATTTATTGTCTTTCCTTGTATTTATTAACTAGTTGTGTACTTCTTAATACAAGTGCTATCATAACATATGTATGCTTGGTGATTTGACATATTTGATAGCTAGTCTTTTGTGCAATTGTAGGACTCCTGTAGGAAGAGGCAGAGCTTGGCTTTATCTTGCAGTGATGCAAAAGAAACTGGCAGACTACCTGAAAGTACTCTTGGACCACAAGCATTTGCTGAGGTATCATCTTTCTTTGTTTCATAGTGATATCTTTTGTCACGCAGAAAAAAGAGGCATTAAATAATTGAATTAGTACTGCTTTTCCGTTAAGACCATTAAATGGAAAGATCTGCTCAGAAAACACCTATGGGTGAAATGGGTTGTTGTTGTTGTTGTTAATTGCTATTACATCAACTTATGACAACCCTATGAATGAGAGACTTCCAAGCACACAGATAATCAGTAGCCCTTCTCAGGCCCTGCAAACACAGGACGGTGGTTTCCATTATTATCTACCTTTCATGTGTCCTTCCTCTTTTTTCTACTGGCCTGCACTTCACCAAGTATTATCTTTACTAATGAGTCATTTCTCATTAAATGTCCAAAATGTGATAGCCCCAGATTAGTCGTTTTGGCTTCTATAGAGAATTCAGGTTTGATTTGCTCTAGGACTCATTTGTCCTTTTGATAATCCATGGTGTTGGTAGAAATTAAGTAAATTGTTTTTTGGATTTTTTGGTCAGTTTTCTTCACTATCCAGCTTTCACAACTATCCATAAAATGGAAATGGAAGTTAGCTGTAAATACGCCCCTCTTTCTCTGCTCCCTGATGCTATTTCCACCTGCTCCTTCACAGCTCTGGAACAGATTCTCAGAGGCATATATGGAAGGGGGGGAAACTCCTAGATGGGACATTCAACTGCTAGGATTTTCTAAGTATATGTGTGTGTGTGTGTGTGTGTGTGTGTATGTGTGTATACATACATACATATATACATACATACACAGGTGGTCCCAGAGTTACAAACATCCAACTTACAAACGACTCATAGTTAAAAACAGGGATGAGACAACTGAGAGGGAGGAAAATCTTCCCTTAGGAAGGGAAATCCACTCGTCAAAGAGTTATCATGGGGAAAAGGTGTCTCAACTGAAGCTTTAGCACCAATCCTTGTTTCCCCAACAATCCAATGAGCACAGGGACACAGTGAGGTAGAATCTTCTGAACAGGGCCACAGACAGCAAAACAAACACCACAAAGGTGTAAACATTCCCTTTGCTATCCAAAGCACTCCCTCCTCCTCCCCTACCTCCATATGACTTAAAATGTACCTGTTCCAAACAAATTCAACTTAAGAACAAACCTACAGACCACTTTTTCTTCATAACTTGGGGACACCTACAACAGAAGCACTGTTTACAATACAACCTTCATTAATTTTATTTACTCATTTGCATTTTCTGCAAAATCAGTACTCCAAGCAGTTCCTAACCGGATTGAATGTAAAAGGTATTATTGAAAGTACAGTACAGCCACTCTGAGTCTCTTTTTAGTGAGATAAAGCGAGATACAAATAATAATGATCATCATCATGTACTTTTATATTGGCTTTGTCCTTACGTAAGGCATCAAGGTAGAGTGTAAACTTATCAGCTCAAATATTTTTGTCTTTTATTTTTATAGTGAATTTTATGAGTCTGATGCCTTGATGATGGAAGAGGAAGGAGCTGTGATGGTGGGTCTCCTTGTGGGACTGAATGTCATTGATGCAAATCTCTGCTTAAAAGGAGAAGATCTGGATTCCCAGGTGAAACCATTATTCCTTTAAATGAAGGAGTATCTTTCCTGATTCACACCCCTTTAGGCAGCTCAGAAGGGATTTTCCTGTTCCTCGATCGTAATAATGAAAAAAGCTGCTCATGGGGAACCTTTGTGGGCAGCAGTTGTCAATCAAGGTCCAGGTATGGAAATAGGGCAAATCTGTGGGTCATCCTTCTCCCCCAGAACCACCCGAAGGCCACATGGACTGCCAACAAGTCAAGAAGGAGAGAGGGATGAAAATAATGTCCATTTCATATTATGTAAGAAAAAGATTGATCTATGATAGTAAACCGTGTGGGGGGCATACAACCTAATATTTCAAAATGTGAATTATTGCTCCTCGTGATTCCTATCCTAAGAGAGGTGCAGTACAACTCCCCTATCCACAGGGCCAGTACCTGTGGTTTTTTTTGTCCACATCTAACAAAACATATACTATGTTGGAAGTCATTCATTCAGTAGGGTTTGCTATTACCCATGGTTTTATGTATCCATGCAAAGTCCTGAGATGTATCCTTCATGGATACAGGAATTACACTATGGGAGTTTGCAGGGAGTCAAGGGCTTCCATAAAGTGGTATCTTTTTATTAAAAGTCAGGTACTCTGAATGAAAATCTAAATGTGTATGTTTTACAGTTAAAATCTAGCTCTTGGTTTCAAATGAGATGTATGTGTCACTATGGGGCAGGAAGGAGAACATAGTACACATGCACACTCCTCAGATGAAATATTTATCCTGCTCTTAAATTTAAACAGTAACTTAGAATTTTAGTTGAGCATTCAGAAAAACATTTTAAGCATCCAAAGAAAAAGAGCAGTCAAATAGACCAAGGAATTGTGAACCCAACAAATGCAAGAGCTGTAAGCATGAATGATTTTCAGCAACTCATTCTTGTAATCATTGAAATTTGGGAACTAAAAAAATTCATTATAGAGGCAGAATTTCCTATGTAGAGGGTCAGTGTCCTTATTACCTTGTAAGTAAAGGTTTTCCCCTGACATTAAATCCAGTCGTGTCCGACTCTGGGGGTTAGTGCTCATCTCCATTTCTAAGTCAAAGAGCCGGCATTGTCCATAGATGACTCCAAGGTCATGTGACCGGCATGACTTTGATCTGCTCACATTTGCATGTTTTTGAACTGCTAAGTTGGGAGAAGCTGGGGCTAACAGCAGATGCTCATGCCACTTCCCAGATTTGATCCTCCTTGTTATCCCCCTGCCATTGCAGTAACTAGATTCCTGAGAAGAGAGATGTATAGAAAGCTCTTTCCCATAGAAATACAGTTCCTCCTTGTATTGGCCACTCCTCTTTAGTCTTTCGCTAGTTTGTTTAGTCTCTAGCAACTGTTGTTAAGATGTCCAAGGACTTCTCAGAAGGGACAGCGAGAACTCTAGGCCTTGTTTCCTAAGTGTCTGGTGCCAGGTTATATTGAGTAGAGCAAGAAAATAATTGATATGATGTCTAATTGAAGCTATGCAAATTAGTTGGCCCTAGGAAGGAACTGAAAGAATAATCTCTCTAAAAAGAGTATCATGTTGTTGCACCAATTCTTTCTCCACATTTATTTGAAGGTGAAAGGGGGTATGAAAATAAGGAAATATTAGCTGATCCTATCTGGGCATTGGCTGTAGTATTAAATTAATTCAGTTGTATAGTAAACCTGATTTTTCTTTTTAGGTTGCAGTGATTGATTTTTCCCTCTACCTTAAGGATACACAAAGCACTGACAATGGCAAAGAGTATGTATAAGCTTTTATTCTTAATCAGTATTTAAAAGAGAATTGTGATATATAGAGAATTAATCTAGTTACTTATGGAGGGAATGAGTCTAAGGCCTTCCAAATTAATATGACTAACCAAATATAATAGTTGGAAACACATGCTTCTTGCCTGCTAATGTGGATCTCTGTCCTTAATTAAATTTGCACAATTTCAATCCCACTACTTTGTATATGGGAGCTCCCTGTGACGCAGTGGGTTAAACCGTTGAGCTGCTGAACTTACTGATCGAAAGGTTGGCCATTCAAGTTCAGGGAGTGGGGTGAGTTCTTACTGTTAGCCCCAGCTTCTGCCAACCTAGCAGTTCAAAAACATGCATATGTGAGTAGAAGTAGTACCACTTCTGCAGGAAGGTAACAGCGCTCCATGCAGTCATGCTGGCCACATGACCTTGGATGTGTCTACGGACAACACTGGCTCTTCGGCTTAGAAATTGAGATGAGTAGCCCCCCCTCCCTCCCCAGAGTCAGGCACAACTGGACTTAATGTCAAGGGGAAACCTTTACCTTTTACTTTGTATATTTGGAATGGATCTGTGTCTTCTTTGAAAGGATCACTTTGGAATTAAAAAGAAATATTAATTTCCATATGTCATGATATAGTTATATGCTCATCTGTCTTTTCATAACAATAACTTAATAGCTTTTCTCAACATAATTATTCTTTTGAAAATAGTTATTTTTTGCTGCAGTGGCAGTCATATTATACTTTAATGTCAAAACATTGGGCCTGACTGATACTAATTCCCCAGAAGAAATCACTCTATTTATTTTCATTTTTTAATTTGAGCCATGCCTTTTTGAGACTGTACTGGTCCCCTATAAGGAAAGATCACTTGGACCCTTACACTGCAAGCTTGTCGTGTTTTCTTGTGGTCTTTTGCTAATATAAATGTAGCCCTTGAAAGAACTGACAATTCTGAGAACAAAATCTTTATTTTGAAACTAGAGATGGAGGAATCACTGCTGTGCTTGATCAGAAACATTATGTGGAAGAACTTAACCGTCATCTAAGGTAGGTTTTTTGTTGAAAGTTTTTTTTTGTTTGCCCCTCATGTGTGAAAATCAAAATGTTAACATAAAGAGGGCTATAGTTTCAGAGGTACCTCCCCCTTTTTCTGCCACTGTTTTGTTGTTCTTCCCTAGTACCAAGTTCTGCCAAATGTGTATCCTTTTCTCTTCAATCAATTTTCTATGTTTCTGTCTTATTACCCACTAGTTCCCCTTTGTGTTCTACCACATTATTTCATAAATGCACTTAAGGTGTGCGTCATGGGAGAGGGCAGTTAGTTTGTTTCATTCTACTGATATCATATCCTTCCTTTAAAAAAAATCTCAGAAAAACATAATTCCTGTTAGTAATTATTAAGATTTCCTGGTTTGAATGACATAGGAGTGGTTCTAATTAAATAGATATTGATGATCTTTTGTTCCAGTTGTACGGTTGGAGACCTTCAAACCAAGATAGAGAGCTTAGAGAAGACCAATTCAAAGCTTCAGGAAGAGGTTTGTGAGAGTGAAATTTATTTCAATTTTTTTCCCCTTAATAAAATTGTAGCAACTGCTTTTTTAAAACTGAGTCTTAGCAAATGTTGACAAAGACCTAAGCAGAGTGAGAAGTCACATGTTAATTCAACAAGCTGGAAATATCATGTGATCGAAATAATATACCTGTAGATAAGATAAAAAGAATGTTATAGATAAGAGAGGGTATTAAATATGAATACAACCTGTAAAATATGCAGTACTTGGGAAACTTGCTTTATAACATTTAAGATTATTGAGCTGTTTAGCACAGTATTGTCTGAAGCTCTCTGAGATTTCAGGTAGGAATATTTCCCATTACTGTATGGGATTGACCCTTTTGTGTGTTATTGTGTTGTGCACCATGAGCTGAGAAAAATTAATTATTAGCCCAAGTTTATGAAAGATTCTGCCTCTTGAACATTTTTTTTGCCTTAAAGGAAAAGTGCTTTGATGTGAAACAGATAACTTGTGGTATGAGCATCAGAATGCATGATGATGTTGCACTACAACCTCCATCACCCCATACCATTGGCTGTAATGGCTAGGGGTGATGGGAAATGCACTCTGAACAACACCTGTAGGGCTTCATGATTCCCACCTCTGATGGAGAGAAAAAATAATAGTAGGTGTAATTCCACTCAAGGCATTTATTGCCCTGATTAAAATAATTCTACGTGGTTCCAGATGTCATATTCTGTTTGTAATACTCCCGTGTCTTTTCCATCATTTTTGTCTCTTTTTTTCACACCAAGAAACTCTGACAAGGAGGGCAAGGCACAATAGTATGAATCCTAACAGATCAGACATCCCCCTCCCTTCTCAAGGGTATGCTGCCATCAAGATCCAATTCCTCTGTGTTGTATAAAGTCTGTTCTGTTTGTAAGGGATACTCTTTTAACTTTTAGGTTCCAGCACTGGCATAGTGAGCGGGTGTTAGGTGCATTTATCCCAAATAAATAAAATATGTATTCAGTATAACTTTTATATTTAACAGCTGTAAGCCAGCCTCTTTTAAGATAATCCCACACTCACTGTAAGCAGTTTAGGAGCAGAAATAATGTAAATAGTTCCACAGTCTGTCTTAGCTGAATTTTGGGGTCTTGATTTTATGCTCCAGTTGAGTGACAAATGGGTATTATGTTCACCTCAAGGGCACATGGCTCTTTCTCTCCTTCCTGTTCCCCTGCTTCCCTTTTGCCAGTTGACAGCAGCAACAGATCGGATCCGGGCACTTCAGGATGAGCAGCAGGAGCTGAGGCAGCAAAATGAACAAATCCGTGAACGAAGTGAGAAACATGTAGAGGTCAGTCAGGAATACTACAGAGCAGACATGCACTGCTTAGAAGCCCCGACTAGCTTGGCTTACTAATGCAGCTTTTTTTCCTTTGAAAAAGAAGCAAACTCTCTTTCATTTTTGCCTACAAACCTGATATGTTTATTTAGTTTAGAGTAATGTCTGGGGTATGAAGTAACTTTAAATCAGGTAAAACCTGCCATGAAGGAAGTACTACCCCAGAAAAACTACTCCAATATGTGTGCAGCAAAATTTTACAAACCACTTTGTATTTAGGTGACTAAAGAAGACACGAAAGTTGAACTGGAAACTTATAAGCAGACACGGCAAGGCTTGGATGAGATGTATAGTGATGTCTGGAAACAACTGAAAGAGGAAAAACGTATTCGAATGGTGAGATGCCACATTCTCATGATCTGAAGTGAATAAGTTGTCTGCATAATCTGAATCAATTCTGTTTAAGGCCAGTAGTACATAAGCACTATGAATTGCTGACCATTGGATAGCGGAACAGCAAAGAGTATAGATCAGGGTGAAGATAGTGGCCCACGGGTACATACCTCTGCCCTACCACCTCCAAAACGTATTTTTGAAAAGTTGAGAAAATATTGTGCCACATTCTCCAAGGTCATTTTAAACTCAGGAGAAGGCCTATTCCCAGCTCACTTCCTACTGGAAAACAAAACCACTACTGTCTCCCAAATGGTCTAACATACTGTTGTATTCCTCTGGGGCTTGGGAAGCATTTGGGAAAAATTTTAAAATGGACAAGGCAGCCCTTTGGCTCATGTAAATGGACATCATTTTGGTGAAGGGGAGCCTCAAAAGTCCTAGTCAATATGCTATATTGGAATTCCACCTTTTGTACTTCTATTGGTGAACTAGGCCATGATCTGCAGATAGGCAACTTCCTTTGGCTTGTTTATTCTGAAGCTTGGCTCATGTTTTGTACAGCAGAAATGTTTTGTTCATCGAGTTTTGCATTGGAATTTTTAAGGAGCTGGAGAAAGAGCTAGAGCTACAAATTGGAATGAAAACTGAAATGGAAATTGCCATGAAACTGCTGGAGAAAGATACTCATGAGAAGCAAGACACTTTAGTTGCCCTTCGTCAGCAGCTAGAAGAAGTCAAAGCTATCAATTTGCAGATGTTTAACAAATCTCAGGTATGGGTATCAAGTTAATGTTCCTATCCCTGACACTTTGAATGGGCATAATGCATTGGGATAATTAGCTTACCTGTCCGAACATATCTCCCTCTTTGAACCATCTCAGAGATTAAGATCTGGGAAGGCCCGGCTCTCCTTCAGTGACATCAGATATCCCCCCTCTCTGCTGACCTTTAGGAAAAAACTGAAAACCTGGATGTGGGACCAAGCGTTTGGATAATTGATTAGTGCAATATGTGAACATGGAATGGTGCAATGATAACTGGAACGGCGGAGCCCCCGGTGGCGGCAGACCTGAAGACCAATAGGTCGCAGGTTCGAATCAGCTCCAGCTCCTCATGTGGGGACATGAGAGAAGCCTCCCACAAGGATGATAAAACATCAAATCATCCGGGCATCCCCTGGGTAACGTCCTTGCAGACGGCCAATTCTCTCACACCAGAAGCAACTTGCAGTTTCTCAGGTCACTCCTGACATGACAAAAAAAAAACTGGAACGGCCTGGACTACGATATTGGATTATGTAATTTTAATAATTTTAATGTTGATATATTTTTAGCAGATGGTTTAATGTATATGTTTTTTATTTGCTGGGTATGTATTGTATGTAATATATGGCATCAAATTGTGCCTCTGTGTGGAGTTGAGAAGGGTGGGATATAAATATGGCAAATAAATAAATACATTTATTTATGTGGCCTTTGCAGCATCTTATTGCATAAGAACCAAAGACGAGTCGCCCTAGGGCTGAGAGCGGCGGTCAACAAATGCATCAAATAAATAAATAAATAAATAAATAAGTCACCTGCCCAAGTTCACTTGACCTAGTAGTGGCAGGGAAATTTGACTTCTGGCATTTCCAATTCAGGGACCAGTCTGGAAGTCATGTGGCAAGCTTCTGAACCCACTTTGAGCTAGTGTCACAACCTACACACTTCTTCCTCCTTTCTCACCTGCTGGCTTTTGCAACATTTAAATTGGGGCTCCCCCATTACATCCAAGATCAAGAAGTCTGGATTCATGTCTCCTAAGATGACTAAGCTAGGATTGCATCTGCACCCAGCTTTCCATTTCGGACATTCTGCTTTAAGCAAACCAAGTTATCCTAAAGGTGGTATTTGAGGAATAGGGTCAAGTACAGAAAGAAGCGTGCAGGCCTGGTAATTATTTTTCATTCCAAAAAGTGTACGAACACTGCATGAAAACCTCCCCTCTGTTTAGTATATAGTCATCTCATACATTAGTATAGTGGTTAATTTCTCATCTTTAATGCCATGGGGATTTGTTAGTCTGTTAGATACAAAAACAGGATTTTGTCCAGACATCTCCCATCTGCTTCCTGCATAAACTTCACCTTAATTACACTTGATGCCCTGTTGACCTCAATAATGCATGTAGGATATAAAGATATTCACTTGCACAAAGTGACAAGAAGCTGAAAGGGAAGCTTGTTGTCTGTTAAAGACACTTTGGTGATGACAGATTTTCTAAGAAAAGTAAGAGTCTCTGTCGCATCAATGTTTGTTCAGACAGTGCCTGCATGCATCTTTGCCTATTATGAGGAGGCAACAATTTGCCCTTCTCTGAAATGCCTTAGAAGTATTTTGAAGGCTCTTTTTCAGGTTGTGTTTATTTAGAAATAGGATGGAGCTAGTTTGGCTTAAACCTTCTATTAACATATTGTTTGGATTGAGACTATATTTGCTGGGTTGCTCCTATGCTCTCATTTGTCTCTCTTGTGCATCCCATAGCTAAGCCAGTGCTTTTACCCTTGCCATCAGATTACCTATTATAAGATTTTAGAGGCAGGGCAACTTTATACATTTACCTTTTTGGGAGGGAAATGTGCTTCTGAAAGAAAGGCCTGGCAAACTGTCTTTCTGACTGGTTTTGTTCCTATGCTTATCAAGCAGGGCCCTCAGATGGTTTGATTTTTGTAGCCTGAAGGAATTATTTGACATGTGATATTTGAATTCTTTCCCTCCAGAATACAGAGACTACTTTACAGCAGAAGAAAGAAGCAATATCATCCTTTGAAGGCAAAGCAAATCAAATGATTGCTTCTATGAAACAAATGGAAGACAGGTAACTTCTTCCATAGAGCTGGTCTAACTTGTGATCTTCCTAGTTCCACAGTGTTCCAGCTTCCACTGTGATTTTACAAAACAATCAGTATGTGTTGGTGTCTTCTTTAGGCTTCAGCATGCAGAAAAGGCCAAGAGGGATGCAGAAGAGAAAAGCGTCAAACTGAAAAGGGAACTAAGCAGCAGAATTGAGATCCTGAAGCAACAACTAAGTCAGCTGGATAGCAAGTGGTATTTAAAACTCTTTTGTCTTCACTCTGTCTTTAAAGTGGGTTTTACTTGTTTAAATAGAAAATTAGCCACTGAGAGTATAATTCAGAGTACCAGGACAGAGGAAGGAGCCCTTGCGCTGGTGGAGAGGAGTTCTGCAGAGGATGGAATACAGGTAACACTCAAAGCAAATCCCATGGGTATAGATAGATCTTTTGCCTCAAATGTGGTCCTGAATCTGGGTATCTCCTTTCTACTGAATGTGGTGTCTGTTTTCCATCTCAATCAGAACGTCGTTGTTCTTCCAGCTTTCTTCCAGAATCTTGCTACTGATTGAATGCAATCTCTGCATTCCATATATTTCTGTAGTGTTGACCTTTCATTTTGATTGTTTAGCTTCCTTTTCAGAGTCTCAGAGACTATTTCTGTGTAATTCCTCTGCTTAGTGGAGGCTACATTCGGGAAAGCTGTTATTTTTCCTTCTGTGGCATGGCACTCCCTCCTCCTATGGTTAAACTGCAGAGCTGCTGAACTTGTTGACCAAAAGGTCAGCAGTTTGAATTCAGGTAGCAGGGTGAACTCCTACTGTTACCCTCAGTTTCTGCCAGCCTAGCAGTTCGAAAACATGCAAATGTGAGTAGATCAATAGGTACCGCTCTGGTAGGAAGGTAACAGCACTCCATGCAGTCATGCCAGCCACATGACCTAGGAGGCGTCTACAGACAACACTGGCTCTTCAGCTTAGAAATTGAGTTGGACACGACTAGACTTAATGTCAGGGGAAATCTTTACCTTTACTAGTCTCCTATTAAGATGAGTCACAGAGACCATGAAGGAAGAGGGCAGGTTGCTTACCTATAACTTGTCCTCTAGTCATTTGTGAATTCACCCAACCCACCCATCTTCCCCTCACTGTGTCTTGTGTTCCTTAGATCCTTGGGTGCTTCTTCAGCACCCATAAAACTGAGGATTTTGGTAGAACATGTGCTAGTATGGCACTCAAGGAGTGGACAGGGCTGCTTCCAAAACAGTTAGGTAATAGCTCTGGAAAGTTCTGAATAATGCCCTGTGCTGGTATAGGTAACCCATTTGTTGAGTTCACGGATGACTATACAAACTACAGGTTACCGATAAACGAAATGTTTTCTTTTTCCTGTTTCATTTTGCACATTGAAGGGTTAAGAGGCTTTCTCCCAAGTCTTCTAATGTGTATTTTACCAATCAGCCACAAAGCTGAATCCAATTCTTGCCTGACAAAAGACTCATGTAAATTGTGTTTTATAGTAAAAGATGGGATTGGATGATGTGATTTTAGGACTTTAGACTTGCAATTAGTGTTGTTTTCCAGACATAAGGACACTTCGGCTTTGTGTCTTCTGAACGGCAACACACCTCTCTTCATATAGTCATATACAAAGGCCTTGAAACTAAGAGGAAATATAAAAGCATTGTAATATCCAGATCAAGCAAAATATAGCTCAAGATGTGCAAATGTCTGTTTTAAAGCAAAATATAACACAGAATCTCACCAAACCAGCTCTTGCACATGCCTGAAGAAGCTCTCTGGATTGCAAGTGCTGTTCTACACAGAAATACAAAATCCTCCTTTGGTGACCCCAGGAAAAGAGCATTCTCTACCTACCCCTCATTTCTTATTCCAGAATTTTCTCAAAAGGTTCATACTTTCCAGAAACAAGCTTTCAGTCTAACGTATGGCATTTTTGTTGGTTTTTAACTAAAATAGTTCAACTCTTGAGAAAGAATTAAAATCTGAGAAAGAGCAGCGACAGACTCTGCAACAGCAGCTGCATCAAGAGAAAGATACTACCACTTTGCTAAAAACAGAACTACAACAAGTGGAAGGCTTGAAAAAAGTAAGTGAGATGGAACCCTGTATTTGACATAACCACCATATCAGGGCCACAGAAGGGGTAAAGTCCCCAGGGGCAACTTACGGTGCAAATATCTTCCTGGTGTTAGTTGGCTTTACAACAAAAAGAAATGTTTCCCTTTACACAGGTAGTTTCTCTCCCCATTTTTCTTTGGTTCTTATAAAGCCAGTCCAAAATAGAAGACACTGAAGAGGGAGGTCTGTCAAATAACAATATATGGCATTTCATGTGTGGTGTGCATATGTTTTATAGGAATTAAGAAAACTGCAAGAAGAGAAGCAGCAGTTAGAAAAGACCTGTGAAGAACAAGAACAGGCCCTTCAAGAAATGGGGCTTCATCTTAGCCAGTAAGCATGGTTTGTTGATTCTGAAATCCATGTTATTTTCAGAAATTGAGAAATCACTCACTATTTATGCAGATGAAACCTGAAAATTTCCTCTTTCCCAATTTGAATGTCTGCAACTTGTCCATGTGATTTGACTTGTTATTTCTAGCATGTTGCTTGAAGAAGCAGTCTGGAGATTTCAAAAGTCTACACATCTTGATGATCCTTTAACTTGACCTAGTATCAATATTTCCTTTAAATGGATGGTTATTATTATATTTATTTATACTTGTATTTGAGTCCCAAAGGGGACTCAAAGTGGCTTGACATAAAAGCATTAGCACAGAGTTTAAAATTTACAAATATACAAAAATTAAAACAGAATTAAACACAAACAGCACAAAAAATAGTTTAAATCCATCAAAACATAATCAAAGTTTTATCGAAGGCTTTCAGGGCCGGAATCACTGGGTTGCTGTGAGTTTTCCAGGCTGCATGTTCCAGAAGTATTCTTTCCTAACGTTTTGCCCACATCTATGGCAGGCATCTTCAGAGGTTGTGAAGTTTGTTGGAAACTAGGCAAGTGGGGTTTATGTATCTGCAGAATGTCCAGGGTGGGAGAAAGAACTCCTGTCTGCTTGAGGAAGGTGTGAATGTTGCAATTAGTAACCTTGATTAGCATTTAATAGCCTTGCAGCTTGAAGGTCTGGCTTCTTCCTGCCTGGGGGTATCATTTGTTGGGAGGTGTTAGCTGGCCCTGATGGTTTCTTGTCTGGAATTCATCTGTTTTTGAATGTTGTTCTTTATTTACTGTCCTGATAATCAAAGTGAAAACCACAGTAAATCTTAAATACCTTCTTTAAAAGCCTGCTGAATAAAAAGGTTTTCGCCATTCTGGCTTTCCTGGGCAGGGAGTTCCAGAGTCGCAGGACAGCCACCAAGGAAGCCCACTCTCTTGTTCCCACCAACTGACCTTTTGATGGAGGTGGGACTGAGAGAAGGGCCTCTCCTGAAGACCTCAGGGCCTGGGCAGGTTTGTACAAGGGGATGAGGTCAGCCAAATAGCCTGGACTTGATCCATCTAGGACTTTAAAAGTCATAATCAGCACTTTGAATTGTGCCCAATAACAGGAGGTTGTCTGCTCCCTGTAGCCAGCCCCAGTGAGCAGTCTGGATGCAGCTCTTTGGACCAGCTAAAATTTCCGAGCACTCTTCAGAAGCAGTCCCACGTAGAGCACATTATAGTAATCCAGATGGGCTGTAACTAAGCCATGTCCCACCATGGCCAGATCTGATTTCTCAAGGAATAGGCGAAGTTGGCACACAAGTTTTAATTATGCAAAGCCCTCCTGGTCTCCGCCAATACCTGGGTCTCCAGGTTCAGCGCTAATACCCCAGTATGTAATGAAAATCATTAACCATTTGATAATTGCAAAGAGTTATGAGGCATTCCTCATACCAGAGAGGGCTCTATAAATTAGGAATTGTTTGAGTTCAATCTTGCCTATGTCATAAACTTATAACATGTTTTCTTTTTAGCTATTCTTTTGTAGTCTCATTTACCTGCTCCCTCTTCACCTCCTGTGTAGGATGGCATTAACCATATATAGCAGTATATCTTTGTAAGAATCACAAGACAATGTTACATTAGCTATGTAATTGTGAAATATTGTTTTCCCCCCCTAGATCCAAACTTAAGATGGAAGATATTAAAGAAGTAAACAAGGCATTAAAGGTATCACAGCTTTAACAATCATTCTGAAGAGATGGGCAAATTGCAGCTCATGGGCCACATGGGACTCCTTTAGGCTCCACATCACTCCTACAAATTCCCTTAAAAACACTGGCACAGTTTTCCTGCCATTTGTGCCCCCACATTGTGTAGAAAGCCCCTCAACATATGAAAACACACAAAAGTCCCCTTCCTTCATTCCCCACCAAGCAGTGCAGAATCTTAAATTAACCAAAATAGCCATGTTTTCCTCTGCAGTCCTTCTCAAAATTATGACAGGAAATCATGTCACTTCCCTGTGGTTGAGCAAGGATTTGAACCAAGATCTCTGGTCCTAGTCCAACACGCAGCCGTTACACACCCTGGCTGCATCTTCCGAAGTGCAGCACCATCAAAATTCTTTCCAAGATGTTAGGACACTCTGATCTTGTCTGACCTCTAAGTGTGACATGCTTTTAGCTAAATGACCATTGTCAGTTATATGAATAACAATATGATCTTGCCCAGAGGGAGCAGGCTTGTTTTCTGATGCCCTGGAGACTAGAACTCAGAGCAATGGGTTCAAATTATAGGAAAAGAGATTCCACCTGAACATTAGGAAGAACTTCCTGAGTGTAAGAGCTGTTCAACAGTGGAACTCTGTCTGCTGGTGGAGGCTCCTTTGGAGGGTTTAAACAGAATTAAAAACATCATCTGTTGAGGGTGCTTTGATTGTGCTTTTCCTGCATGGCAGGGAGTTGGACTTGTCTCTCCTGTGATTTTGATTGTTTCCCTAAAAGTAACTCTCATTTCCAGGCCAGTGTAAAAGTGGCTGCAACCTCAGATCAGTTCCCTGAATGTGTTTGTGAGCTAGATATTATTGTTCCTGCTTGTGGTTTGACTTTGTGTGTGAGACCTTGAAACAAAGTTTCAGTCCTCTCAATACTTCAATAGTAATTTTCCTTTTGCTTCAATATTAGGGCCACACTTGGCTTAAAGATGATGAAGCAACCCACTGTAAGCAGTGTGAGAAAGAGTTCTCCATCTCAAGAAGAAAGGTAATGCCAGTAACAATGTTTCAGTGTTACAAAACAATGTCAAGGCCATCTGTAAAGCCTAAATTCACTTGAGAAAACAGGAACAAGAAAATCTAGGGATGAAAATGCCAAGCGGTACATTTGTTGCCCAGTGCAGACATTATGTGGCTTTTGGGTGGGTGGGGTCAGTAGTGCAGCATCCCAGTTCAGTTGTGAGGTGTGTTACAGGAACTGGTATGTATTTCTCACTAGGTCTGCATCTGAGGCTGAAACAACCAAGACTTGGCATTGTGTGTCCTTTTGAGGGCAGTTTGTCAGATCCAGTAATTGCAAAATGTAAATTACAGAAAGAAGGGGGACTCTGGAGAAGGCTTCTGTAACTATATTAATATACAGGAGCTCCCTTCAGTCTGCAAATTATAGGATGTGTATATCAAGACATTTCTAGCATTTTAAAAAACCAAGGGACCAGCAACAATATATCAGATCCAATTAGTAAAGTGCCTGCTCTAGTCATACATGGATTTTGAATTGAACCTTTATTCTGATGGGTTTGTCATTCACCTTTATCTCCAGTGCAGTATGAAATCTCTTCCACTTCTTTCTTCTTCTCAATCAAGAGACATAGTAGCATTTAAAGGGTCAATATTAAAAAAAAAACCTTTAAGATTAGTGGGTCCTCCATTCAACGTCCTTCCTTCATTTGTTGTGGTCATTATTTTTAGATTTCAGCTATTCTAGCCAAATGAACTAGCATCTGTGGTAGAATACCTTCTATTATAACTCTGATGTCACAAAAATACTTTGTAAGCTCTCCAGTACTCAAAATAATAATGTAAAACCATTTTAAAGGGGGCATAAATGTCTTAATTCACAGCAAGTAGTCTTCATTTGGTTACTCTTAAGTGTAAGGAAGCTGGAGTTGTTACAGGTCTATGAAGCCAGGCTGAGAATGGCAAAGGTCCAAGAGAGGGCATTGGGCATGTACGAACCCTATTCAGCATCCCTTGCAAGCAGTGTTTGGACTGTCAGTTGCTATTGTGTAAGGAAGCACTGCATACAACCTTCTGTGTATTTGTGTATGTGTGAACGTACCTTTCAAGTCACCTGACAACTTTTGGCAATTCCATAATTTCATAGGGGTTTCTTATGCAAGAAATGCTCAGATGGTTTTCCCAGTACCTTTCTCTGCAATATAGCCTACAGCACCTAATTTGTCAGCAGTCTCCAAGTAACAATAAAAATAATTTACACACTTATAAACTCTCGTTATGCACACATTAAAGCCACCAAGAGCAATGTGACCACCCAATTAGGAATTACAAGGAATTAAGAGCTTCAGAAATCTAGCAACCTCCTGTGACGCATCCCTTAAGTTATCAGAAACGTCTTCATTCTTAAGTGAAAAGCATGTCCTTAGTGATTGTAAAAGTTTGATATTTCATTTTACAGCACCATTGTCGAAACTGTGGACACATCTTTTGCAACACGTGTTCCAGCAATGAACTGGCACTTCCATCTTATCCAAAGCCTGTACGAGTTTGTGACACTTGCCACACTTTATTGCTTCAGAGGTGTTCATCAAATTCTTCCTAAAGTAACTAGTTTGTTTTAGGAGAACCATGTGTAATAATCTTATTTAACAGGTCTTTTGTGGAATCGAATTTGCACCATTGTTCATCACATAATTTTTATGGTCGTTTGTCAAGTTGGGATGAGAGAAAAGAACATTTATAATGGGGCTTACAGAAATTATGGCAACTAAATATTTTGCATAGATTAAGTGCCAGAAAATGTTATGACCTAAAATGTTCTCAAAATGCTGCAACTCTTGAGAATGTGCAGTCATACCTTTGTTTATAAATTACCAAAAAGATCTATTTGTATTTAACTTTGTACTTGACATTTGTACATTTGATCTCTAAAAACAAATTACTTTTCTGAACACTTAAGTCTTGTGGATCTACCTACTCTGGAAGTTTCACTTAAAATTCCCTCTAGATTTGTATGTAGTCAAAGCTGAACAGGTCAGCAACTTAAAAAGTGTCCCCAAGGAAGACTTTTTTAAAGCAATGTATAAATGAATGTGCCTTCTCGCTATACTTCAGCAGAAAATATAGATTGTTTCTAAAGCACCTATGAAATACTAATAATGCAATAAAGACTTAAGATGGAATTAAATGTGTTTGCCTTCACAATGTATTTATAACCCCTTGTTTCACAGGGAAAGCATGGGCAGAAGGCTCTTAGCCGTTCTCTCCAAATTCTTAATACTATGGACCATTTTTTAGATCTTAGGCAGTCAAAACCAGTGGACAGGACTCCAAGATCATATGGGCAGAGGTTCCGTTCCATTACTGACCTATGCAATAGCAAAAAGCAAACGCAACTCATTTTAGCTATATTGTTATTTCAAGAAGCCGGTTGCAGAAGCCAGCTTTATTTTTGCTTTTCAGCATTCCTGAAAGTACATTTTAAAAAAGACACCAGTAACTGCACAGCTATTGTTCAGCAGTTCAGAGTCCACGCTGTTACTTTAGAGAAGCAAACATTTTATTAATTGGTCTTGGGCCTATCTCCCAGACACTATCTTGATTTCCCCACAACAAATTCCATATTTAAAAGTTTGAAGGTAACTGATTGTTCTTGAAGTCATTGCTCATAGATGATTCTGTAGACGAAGAGTAGATGAAAGATTCCCTTGCTCAGTTTCTCTGGAGCGCCCAATGCCTAAGGTATTCAGGCCGGAGGCGAAGAGAACCGATCTCTCCAGTTGATACCTGGCACCTTGCTGAAGGCACTGAAAACTCCACAGGCTGTCACTGACCAATGGTAGATCAGTATAACCACATGAGTTCCCAGTAGTAGTAGACCTTATTAAAAAATCCGGATCTCTGCAGGTATCTCTATTTGGAATCCCAGCAGGCAGTCCCCACGGTCATCCCTTCTCCTCCCCAGGCTAAGGCAGCCTGGAGAAGAGGATGGCAATGCCAGCCTCCCCCCCCCCCCAATTTAAAAAGAAAATCCCCCAAGTTACCTTCCTAGGGCTGAAAAATAAGATTTAAGAGTTTTGGAGGGAAAATTCCCCCTCCCCTATCCCAAGTTCTTTAGTTTCATTGTGGCGCGCACACACACACACACACACACCCAAGGTAAGGGTTAAAAGGGGGGGGGGAGATAATCCCAATGCCCAATCGGCAGGGGTGGGTAATCTGGTCACCACCCCCAGCCAAAAGGAAACACATTTGGGTCCTTAGACCCTGGTCGTCTTCTGGTCTAGAACACGTATCACTAGCAATTTCAAAGGGCAAACACTACTCCAAAGCATTGTGATTCATGATGGAAATGTTTCAAATCAGTAGCTAAAACACTCTTATCAGTTTCTTTTGCACAGGACTTTTAATTTTGAAAGCAGTTACCTCCTGTTACGTGCCATTTCAGAAAAATTCCTCTTAATGCCACCTGCACGCCCATACAGTGAGCAGGGCTCTTTTGGCCGTGCCTTTCTGTTACTTCACAAAAGAACTCCAATAACAAAGGAGGTTGCTAGTGACAACAAAAAAGTGGTACAATGAAAAGCAGAATGAGCAACATGCCACTGCAGCCAAAACTCACACACACGTATATGTATTAAAACAAACAAATTTCCAGTCTGGTTAAGTTTACAAGCCTAAACAAAAGACCAACAGTTGCTTGTGTCCAAAACTTGTTTGGCTGTTTATAAGGTTTCCTTATTTGAGAACTGCTCATTACAGACCGTTTCAAATGGCATCTCAGTGCTATTTTCCCATAGCAAATTAGAGGCATCTAGTCAACCTGACGACAGAGGAAATTAAACTGACAGCCTGTGCGCACTTAGAAATGAATAATGTGATTACTAAACCAGCTTGCGTTTCTCAAAAACAAGTCAGGACAGACTAATCTTAACTTTTTTTCTTTTAAGCCAAGCTTGTTTGAGCAAAGGAATGGCACTGAATGTTGTGTCTTGTTTTTTAGTAAAGCTCCCCCGTGATATTAAGATCAACTTTTCAAATGTGGTGTAGATGGTGTTATTGTTAAATAGTTTTTACTGATCAAAATACATCAATGGTTCCTTTTCATTCACAAGTGACTAGCAGAGATGACACTAAATTTGGGGAGGGGAGTTGCTAATACTAGAGCAATGGCTCCCCAATGATGGTCTTTTAGGTGTTTTGGACTTCAGCTCCAAGCTGGTTTGGCCTCCTGAGACTTGAGGTCCAAAAGATATAGGCGAATGAAGTCTAGGAACAGGATCACAATTCAAAATAACTGGCAAGACTGAAAATCAGCACAAGCATAGTGTCCAGGTCAATGGATATAATGGTACTACCCTAATGCAGCTTTGGCCAGATCGCACCTAGAATTATGCGTCCACTTGTGGGCACAATTCAAAAAGGATGTTATTATTATTGTGTTTATTTATACCCTACTTTCTCTCCTCAAAGGAGATTCATAGGCTGATTAGCTAGGCCATGGTCAGAGGAGGGCAATCAAGGAGGCAAAGGAAACCAAATCCTATGAAGAATGACCTAGGCAACTGGGAATGTTTAACTTGGATAAGACAGAGAAAAAATATGATAGCCATTTTTAATATGCTCAAAAGGGCACCATGTTGAAGAGGGAGCATGCTTATTTTCAGTTCCCCAGAGACTAGAAAATGAACCAATGGTTTCAAATTGCTAGAAAGGAGATGCTGCCTAAACATAAGAAAACATCTGGTAGACAACTTTCTGCTTGATGGACAAAGTAAGGCCTGAATTTCTCAATAGAAAACTCATGTATTAGCATTAGAATTCTTCCACACATCTCTATTTTATGTTCGCTAGATCCATGCAAAATAAATATGAGAACACGTCAGGCAGAACTATCACCAAGTTCCAGCAAGGCAGCAGCCCAAGAGAGGTGAATGTCAAAATCACCACTAGTTAAATGATCACTTAAAATCAGAAGAAAGTCCGGTTTTTAAAAGGAAGTTTTTATTTTAACAAGTTTCACTTAGCGCAATACACCTAAAAGTAAATCACAATACAATGAAAGATTAAATCAAGGCCTCAGATTTCATACGAATACCAAGACCAAAATCCTAAAGGTAGCTGTATTGCATCTCACATTTCCCCATTAACTTAAAAAGCTTAAATGTGCCTTACAAGATATTAAAAAAGAAAATCTAGAACTAACATGCCAAATGTTCACTTGAGTTTCCAACACAGCTCCTATATTTTGTTTGTACAAAAAAGCATGTTCCTGAACATGCACTGAAAAGTGTTTGGTGTTATATGGTATAAGGGCAACATTTAACATAATTCAAACAGCTTGAACCTAAATACGCTTACCGCTCAAATACACTCCTACAACAAAAACTGGGGGGAAAGCTGAAATTGTTTAACAGGAAACGTCTTTACTTGACTTACACCCTAGATGAAAGTTTCAGCATACTCAAAAATACTGAACCTGAATGGTTTAAAATGATCCTGATTTCACTTACAAGTAAAGCATAAATCACAAGCTTGTATTGCAAAACTGTTAAACTTAGTTTTTTTGTTTTGTTTTCTTAAAAAATGATGAAAAAATCAAGGAGAACAATTTACATTCCCCAGCCACCACTCATGTTGGACATGTTAGACATCCCAGCCATGCCATTCACTCCCATGGAAGCACGGTTGCCACTACTGTAGTAGCTGCTGTTCATCGCACTCTGGTTACCTAAGGGAGATAGCAAAGTTAAAAGTGAAAACAATGCTGTTCGCACTCCCTCTTGACAAGTTATCTTCCTTGTATCACCTTGCAGAATCCCCTACCTTTAAAAAGACAAACTTCCCTCCATGTAACTTCAAGTTTAAAAACACAAAGCCCCCCAATTCTTTGCAAAGTAAGTCCTGAAACATCAACGTGCCCTCCCCCTCTACTGTAATCTAATATACATAATCACTTTGCACATCACAAAATGACAGAACTATATAGTTTCAATGTTCAAAATAATCAGTGCTATCAAGAAAATGTTCTTATCCTTGCTTTTGTATACTACACACCTCTAGGTTTTTAAAATGTAACAATCTAAATACTTGCAGAATCCTCGACTATCTGAAATTCATTGTTTGCCAAAGCTAGGTAATTTTTGCCTAAAATGACTGGCTAGCTCCAATACACAGACCTGTAAGATTAATTTTAAAACTTCTTACCATATCCACTCATGCTGCTTTGACCACCATAACCTCCTCCATAACCTCCACTCAACTGTTGGTTGGTTGGACCACCATAACTGGATTGGCTTCCTTTTAAGTTAAGGACATGCAAATTACAACTTTGACTACCACCAACTTTTATTAAAAATTCACGTACTACATTCTACCTAGATAGTGCAGATCTCTTGCTATTTTGCCACATACTCATTTGAATAAGATGCTTCTTCATTTTCTCTTCATTGCTAAGCAAACTCTTTGCAGAGCCAATTTTGCCAATGATTAATTTCTGTGACATGATTCAGACAATTATGCTATTTAGTTAGGAATTTTTGTGTGTTTGCATGAAATAGGCTTATTCCCCTGAGTATTCAATCTTTTTCTCAAATGTACTAACCAAAGTGAAGTTTTGAAAATAGGAAGTAGAAAATTTTGGTAGATTACAACCTTTATCTGTTAGCACACATTACAAACCAAGCTGTTCTCAAATATGCACCTCAAAACCATTTTGAAACGAAATTATGCCGAAGGTACTGCTATTCACATATCTGAAAAACTTTTTTGCACTTCAGAATATGAAGGGTTTAAACTTAATTTTATCTTGTGAAGCACAAAATGTAAGCCATTCCACAAAGTGCTGTACAAAAAGCAACACACATAGATTAGAGGAAACCAACCACCATTTTTAGAATAAAATCATAAAAACAAGCAACCTCAGATTCTAAAAATATTATTTCTACAGAATATAGGAAGGCAGAAAAAAATGGGCCAGTCAATTTTGGTGCTAGCAGTATAACAAGAAAATCAATGATGCTGAATAATCATTGTGCTAATCACTACTAATGCAATTTCACCCTTTAACACACGCTCTTTACTCCCCTCTCAAAAAACCCCTATTTCTCAACATTAAATAGAGAAAAAAATGTTCCCACACATTAGGTACCCCCATACTACCTTGAAAAATCATTCACATCACTACTC